ATTTTAAATTAAAGGATTAAAAATATGTGTATTTAAAAAAACTTAATGAAGTAATTAATAGAAGGATTAAAAAAAATATGAAGAATGGATTAAAAAAATATATAAAAAAACTTAAGGATGAAAATTATATAAAAAATCAAAATTGAGGACTAAAAATGAAATTGCCCTTTTGAAATTTGAATTGATTTGAATTGTGCGGGCAACTGCAAATTGAAAGATAAGACAGCTGTACGCGAGAACAGAGGGGGATTTACGCGATCAAAATTGCAGGACTGGCCAAAACGACGTTGTTTTGGTTAGGAAATCTTTTTTTTTTCTTAATTTTTGCATATTGTACCGGTTAAATTTTGGTGTATCGACCGATATACCGAAATTTCGGTCGATACACCAAATTTAACCGAATCATTGGATTTTGATCAAAATAAAATTTATTTTTATTTCATTTTGGTCTATTCTCAAAACCGATACATACCGACCATACCGATCCATACGAAACGGTATTTACTTCTTTGAATCCAACACTTATCATGATAAAAAAAAATCACATTTGACCAATAGGCCGGCTGACCTTCTTCCACCCTGTGGCCGTATTGAATGAAGGTCCATGTTGTAAATTAGACCTCTAGAGAAGTACCTCTCTCTTTGATTTGTTTCTCTTTTATTATTATTATTATTATTATTTATTTTTTATAAAAAGGAAATTTTGGCTGATGCCCAGCCTGCCAGCCAATAATTTACCTTCGATGGCACGTGATCTGGTCTGGCACTTTACTTCCTTCAAGAATGTTTGGCGAGATGACCAATTTTATTATAAACATTTCCCATTGAAAACGTGATAAATAAAGTATTATAAAAAATTTAATAAATTTTGTAATTAAAATTTTATTAGATTATTAATTTTTATTTGTTTGGTAGAAAATTAGTACAAAAAGAGTTGATAAAAAATTATCAAATGGGTCCTACATAATCAAAGGTAAGGAGAAAATATACAAATAATGATGCTGATTTTGTAATTTTTTTATTTAAGAATGTAAATTTTATCCATCTTTATTAAATATGTAAATTTTTAACTTACTCTATTTAAGAATGTCAATTTTAAGTTTTTTTTATTTAAGAATTAATTAAATGATGATGTTGATATGATAAATTTAGAATTGGCTTCTTTAAATGAAAAACAAAAACAAAATTGACATATTTAAATAGAAAAAGTGAAAAATTTATTGCTTCATTAAAAATCAACAAAATTTACATTTTTAAATAAAAAAATTATAAAGTTGACATTTTTATTTACAGATTATGTTAAAAATTAGGGAAAAACATTTTCCTTTCAAATAGCGTGGAAAAAAGGTTTAAGAATTAAGAATTGCGTTAGGAAAAATAAAAGCTAAAATGTCAATTTTTACCCTCTTTTTTTTTTAGAATTAATTTGTAGAAATTCATAAATAAGCTTATAAGGGAGAAAGTTTTGAAACATATGGGGAAAGTTAATGTGTTTTGTAGTAAAGTTTTATTAGAATTTTATAGGTTGTTAACTTTTTTGTATTTAATAAGAAATTAATATAAAAAAAATTGATAGAAAAGTTAAGTTGCTGGCCACTAGGCCGGCTGACCTTCTTCCACCCTGTGGCCGTATTGAACGAAGGTCCATGTTGTAAATTAGACTTCTAGAGAAGTACCTCTCTCTTTGATTTGTTTCTCTTTTATTATTATTATTATTATTATTATTTATTTTTATTTTTTATAAAAAGGAAATTTTGGCATTGCGATGTCCCTATGTATTATTTTTGATGATGAG